CATTTCACATAGAACATATGAAGACACACTGCCTGAATTACCATTTTTTTTTTTTTTGAAAACCCTGTAAATCTGTCATAGCAAGGAAAACCTTTTGCTCAGTGCTACACAATTAAAACCACAATCATACACATTCAATTTTGTTTTGTTTTTGTCTTTTTGAGGTGGTGTATAATTATGCTGCCTTTATTACTGGACTTGCAATCCTCTCTCAGCCTTCCAAGTAGCTGAGGCTCCAGGAGAGTAACACATGCCTGGCTATTCATTTTCACCAAGCACATGCTCTTGACGAGAAGAACCTAAAACTACACAGGCAGCTCTTCCTGTAAACCTCCATCAACTTGCATGTTCCTGATGTTTACAATTACTGAAGTAGATAGCCTGATCCTAAAGAACTCATTTCATAATGTTTATTGGTAATGAGAGAATACCACCATAAATGTACTACTCAAATGTTAGTCTAAAATCCCAAAGACCAGAAGATATGAGAATGTATTCTTTCATTTTTCAGTTTAAAATTATTTATATGGTTGTATATGTAACCTTAACTTTGAATAAGACAGGCTAATTTTTAAACAAGTATTACTGTAACTTGACAAATCACTAAAATCACCTTAATAAACCTGCCGTGGATAAGCAGAAGACACGGGGCTTCCGGGCTGGGCAACCCACTCTAGGGAGCAGTTATCTGAACGGAAGGAAGACATTCTACCTCTAGTTTCCACTCGGGAAACTCTGAATGCATTTCTTGGAGCAGCTACTGCACTACACTACAGACTGGAAGGGACTGTTGTAACTACTTGATGTTTTACACAAGTGAGACAACATTTAGTACAGTTGTCTGTAACACTTGGGTCTGAGAGAGACAAGTTTAGAATTGTATTTCAGTGTATAATTCACAAAGGAGCAAGCAGCATTAATTTACTAACAATGCAGAAAAACCGACCTCTTGCTTGGTAGAATCTTTCTTTCTTTCTTTCTTTTTTTTTTTTTTGGTTTTGAGACAGGGTTTCTCTGTGTAGCCTTGGTTGTCCTGGAACTCAAAGATCTACCTATCTCTGCCTCCCAAGTGCTGGGATTAAAGGTGTGCACCGTCCAGCTTGGCAGATCCTTTTTATAGTTTCTTTAGAACTGGGCCAGTGAGACAGCCCAGCAAGTGAAAGTGCTTGCTATGTAAGTCTGATGGTCTGCGCTCAGTCTCTGGAACGTGGTGGATGGAGAAACTACTCCAGACGGCTGTCCTCTGACCACCGCATATGCTAAGACCCCGGGCTACACCACACTCACAGACATACAAACAGTAATAATAACATGAAAGGTAAAGAAGAGAAATGACAGTTTTGTCACATCAGAAAACAAAGTATTTTTATTGTAAAGTTTTTCAAAATATATTTTAAAAAGTCACCTGTGGTGATTTGAATGAGAATGGCCAACATAGGCTCATATATTTGAATTCTTAGTTTTCAATTGGTGGACTGTTGGGGAGGATTAGGAGGTGTAGCCTTGTTGAAGTAGGTGTGTCACTGGAGGTGGGCTCTGAGGTTCCCAAAGCTCAGCCTGGCCTAGTCTCCCTCTCTGTCTGTGGATCAGGATGTAAGCTCTCAGCCCCACGCCTGCCTGCCTGTATGCTGTCCGTCATGATAAAGATGGACTAACCCTCTGAAACCGTAAACAAGCCCCTAATTAAATACTTGGTTTTGTAAGAGCTGTTTTGGTCATGGTGTCTCTTCACAGCAATAGGACAGTGACGAAGAAAATTTTAGTGACCTTAAAAAATGTGTCAAGAAAAATCTAAGGAGTCTAGAACAGTAAAGATGAATTAACAATGAGAATTAATATCTTTGTATTTTTACAAAATATAGGCTTAGTAATATAAAGCAACAAGGGATAGAAAGGAGGCCTGACAGAGAAAATATACTGTTAAGTTCTTAAAAACAATAAAAAAAAAAACCCACCCCAAACCTTTACTTTTCTACTGTTTACTCAAAAACTTTAAGAACTAAAAACACTCAAAGAGATTATTGTGCATAATACTAATATTTGTGGTTACTCACATTATCAGAGAACGGTGTATCTGAGTGAAAATCAAGAGAATTTAATTGGCTGACAGATTCATAAAGCTGTAGTAACTTCAATTTACTGGCACAAAACTGTAGCAGTCCTTCATCAACAGACTCAAGCTCTAAAAGGCGGAGGGAAAACATTAGACATATTTAGCAGACTCATAAAAAGATGTTCATAATCTCTTAAATATGTAATTCCTTAATGGGTTAAATACTGATATGCTTAACCCAGCATAGATTTGGAAAGCAAAAATATTTTTCCCATTATAGTAAAATGTCTTTTAAGTGAAATAACATTTCCTAATAAGAGGTATAGAGT